AGGCCTTGTCTAATATTTTGACTCCCCAGGCTTGGAGGCCTTCATTGTAATTCTCAGACTTAAAGCTTCCTTCTTATCATTCTTCACTGGCATAGAGAATTTACTTGCTTGTCTCTCTGCTGAGCAAACCTTACGTTCATAAAGCAGGAATTGTGTCTATTTAGTTTACTAAGTTCATGAAGCTGGAATGGTGTCTATTTTGTTTATTTCTACATTCTTAGCATCTATACTAATCTCTGGGACATAACAGATTATTTAAAAAAATTAATGAATGAAGGCCCCATTCAGTCTTTTAAATATGAGTAATCACTTTACTATTTTGTTAGATATGGCCTAGATTTCATGATTTTCTACAAGGACAAAAGTCCATAACATGAAATTTTATATTGTAAACATTGCTCCAATTTTTTAAAAGGTACAGATTTAAAAAAGCATTTATATTAGGCTAGAAACTGGTACTTAATGTATGACATCTACCATTTCCAACCTCATCGTTCTTGTCTGTCATTCATTCAAAATGCATTTATTATGTTATTGATGCTTACACGAGGATGCCCCTATCACCAGTATCTTTGGAGAACCTAGCATGCTCTGTGACCTCAGATATTTCATTTTCTTCTTCTTGGCTATGGTTCACGTGTCTGTGTTCTAGTGCTGTGAAGAGACATCATAACCATGACACATCTCATTTACAAAAGTAAGCATCTACCTGGGAGGTTTAGTCCATTTTCATCATGGTGGGAAGCATGGCAGCACACAAGCAAACAAGGTGTTGGAGGAGTAGTTGAGAGTTATATATCCAGATCTGCAGACAACATTAAGAAAGAGCTTCTGGGCCTGGCATGGGCCTTTAAAAACCTCAAAGCCCACCCCCAGTGATACATTTCACCCAACAAGGCCACACCTCCTAATCCTTTCAAATAGTACCACCCTCTGGTGACCAGAAATTCAAATATATGAGCCTATGGGAGCCCTTCTTATTCAAACCACCACAGTAAAATGCAGACGCTAACTAAGGTCTTCTAAGAGTAATTTACTACAACTTTTATAAGTTTATGATTCATTTCTTATTCTGAATGTATTTGGCTGGGCAAAAAGGCATAGAAATACTGAAACATTACCATGTTAGCATAAAAATTTTCTGCACAGCTCAAATACAATTTATAAGGGCTGAAATTATGCCCAAAAGCTTCATAGATTATTTGAATACACACACATTCATGTGCTGTCACTTGAGATTTTGATCTTAGCCATTCTGATGGGTGTGAGGTGAAATCTCAGCTGACAACACATGCTGGAGAGGATATGGAGAAAGGAGAACCCTCCTCCATTACTGATGGGAATGTAAACTTGTACAACCACTTTGGAAATCAATCTGGCGGGTTTCTCAGCCAATTAGGAATTGTGCTTCCTCAAGATTCAGCTATACCACTCCTAGACATATATCTAAAATATGCTCAAGTACACAACAAGGACATTTGCTCAACCATGTTCATAGCAGCTTTATTTGTAATGGCTAGAACTGGAAACAACACAGATGTCCCTCAACTGAGGAATGGATACAGAAATTGTGGTACATTTATACAATGGAATACTACTCAGCAATTAAAAACAAGGAAATGATGAAATTTGAAGGCAAATGGTGGGATCTAGAAAAGATCATCCTGAGTGAGGTATCCCAGAAGCAGAACGGTACACACAGTATATACTCATTTATAAGTGGATACTAGACATATAATATAGGATAAACATCTGTATACCTAAAGATAAAATCTGTATACCTAAAGAAGTAAGCAAGAAGGAGGGCTTTGGGTAAGATGCTCAATCCTCACTCAGAAAGACAAATGGGATGGAAACTGGAAGAATGAGAAAACAGGGAACAGGACAGGAGCCTACCACAGAGGACCTATGAAAGACTCTACTGAACAGTGTATCAAAGCAGATGCTGAGACTCATAAGCAAACTTTGGGCAGAGTGCAGGAAATATTAGGAAAGAAGGGGGAGATAAAAAAAAACCTGGAGGGAATAGGAGCTCCACAAGAAGAGCAACAGAACCAAAATATCTGGGCCCAGGGTTCTTTTCTGAGACTGATACTCCAACCAAGGACCATTCATGGATATAACCTAGAACCCTTGCTCAGATATAGGCCATAGCAGCTCAGTATCCAAGTGGGCTCCCTAGTAAGCAGAACAGGGACTGTCTCTGATATGAACTCAGAGGCTGGCTCTTTGACCCCTAACCCCCGAGAGGGGAGCAGCCTTGCCAGGTCACAGGGGAGAACAATGCAGCCAGTCCTGATGAGACCTGATAAGCTAGTCAGATGGAAGGGGAGGAGAACCTCCCCTATCAGTGAACTTGGAGAGGGGCATGGAAGCAGATGAGGGAGGGAGGGTGGGAATGGGAGGGAATGAGGGAGGAGGCTACAGCTGGGATGCAAAGTGAATAAACTGTAATTAAAATAAAAAAGGAAAAATTCAATTAAAATAAAACAAAAAAGACATTACATCATAATTGGAAAAAAAAGAAATAAGACAAATAATAAACAAAATCACTAACATTGATTTATTAAACTTTTCAAAAAAGTTCAAAAGGCAGCAAAAGAAAAAACCACATAAATTCATTTTCTTAAAAGCATGTAGGGTTAGTTAATAAGTCAAGAAATATGTTGAGACTAAGGAAAACTGTTTCTGACGGCAGCAATGTGAATAACAAGCATTTCTAGTAATACAAACTATGTAGCTGGCAGAGAGACCACAGCATTAAAATGAACCTAATCTTAGCTATGATGATGGGACGTCGTTTCCGTAAATGTTAAAGCATGTATGCAAAAGTCTCCATAAATACATGACAAAACTACACCTTTGGGGACAAATTAGAGGGTTACTTCCACTTTTCCTCAGTCAGAGCACAGCACATAGTTGGGCAGGGCACCCAGTCAGATTGACAGGGATATCTGACTATGAAGGCTGTAGCTACCTTATATGAAGCAGTGTCCTAGGCTACCCACAACTACCTTCAGAATTAACTTGCAAAAGTTTTGAAAAGCACATTTCTGATTTCAGAAACACTAAGAAAGGACCTTAGGCATCTTGGCTTGCTTGCATTGTCAATAAAGTATTCAACAAAGGATATGGGGTTTTGATATTAGGTCTGGATATTAATGGCAGATCCAACAGTTACTAAATGTGACTACTGACTATTTTTGAGACAGGGTCTCATGTAACCCCGGCTGGTCTTACATTCCCTTTGTGGCCAAGGATGACCTTGATACATGTGGTTTATGCAATGAAGAGGAATGAACCAGGGCTCTAGGCAGGTTTGGTGAGCACTACACCTGCTGAGCTCGCCTCAGCTCTAACTGCAACCCTTTACATGCTGAATAAGATGGGCACAAAGCACACTAGGAACCATTACTCCACTTTATAGATAAGGAACTCAAAGCTGAAACTAGGGAGTCGCTTTCTTAAGGAAACACAACTGAGGAGAGGCTGGAGCTCAGGATGGAATGCAAGATTGCCAACAGAGTTTTCCCAGTGCCACACAATGCCAAATGTGTATTTTTAGAAAAGGGTAAAAAGAGAACCATCGTAAAAAATAAAATATTCAGATATTTTACTCTAAATTAAAAATACAAGTATATTAATTCTTTTTATAGACATCTTTTCTATGGATTTAATAAGTAACCTATAACTTTTTAAGGGCAAGAGTCCAAAATTTTTGTCTATTTTCATATTTCTAAGTGTAGGAAGTCTTCAGAAAATAAGTCCGTAAAGGACAAAATATGCAGTGCTAAAATGAAATTCCTTAGTCTCACTTGTTCTGAAATTTCTTCTTCTAGTAAAATCACTAGGAATAGCTCCAAGAACTTCCCCTTCTGCTATGCAGAATAGGATTTAGTAGATGCTATGCTCAACACATTTTGGAGATTTTATTTTGTATAGCTACCTCAATGCTTTTATCCTTATTAATTGTTTTGGGTAGTTTTGATGTCGACTCTACACAGGTAGTCATTTTGGAAGAGGGAACCACAATTGAGAAAATACCTACAGTACCTTTTCGCCTGGGCTGGTGGTGCTGAGCTCTGTAAGGAGGCAGGCTGGGCAAGCCAGTGAGAGCCCTCCACCATGATGCCAGCATCTGCTCCTGCCCTAGGTTCCTGCCTGCTTGCGCTCCTGCCCCGCCTTTTTCCCACTCTCAACTGTGAAGTGGGAGCATAAGCAAAGCAAGCCCTTTTAGTTAGGGTGTCTCATCAAAGCAATAAAAGCCCTAACTAAGGCACTGGTATACATTAACTTACAAAAGTAGTCACTTCAGAACGTCATTCTAATACTTATTGTCATGTACTTGAATCATAATCATCTCCCTACTGGTCCCTTCCTGCTCCAAATGGGTCCTCTTCTACTTTCACGGTTTTTTGTTTCAAATCTAGATTCCACGTTAGGAGAGAAACATGTAGTGTCTGTCTTTTCATGATTCACAAATTTGCAGGAACATTATTTTTTTCTTCAAAATCTTTTTTTTTTTTTTACTCTTTCACTTTTTTTTTAAAGATTTATTTATTTATTATTTATACAGTACTCTGTCTGCATGTATGCTTACACACCAGAAGAGGGCACTAGATATCATTATAGATGGTTGTGAGCCACCATGTAGTTGCTGTGAATTGAACTCAGGACCTTTAGAAGAGCAGACAGTGCTCTTAACCACTGAGCCATCTCTCCAGCCCTAATCTTCAAAATCTTATACTTTAAAAAATTTAATACAGCAAATCTGTTGATATAAAGGTGCTTCCAAAATAGAGCAGAGGATTATTGTTCTTAATACAAAGCCTGACCTTTTAAACTTGAGGTTCTGTCACGTGTGGTGCTCACTATCACGATTCACCACCTCAGCCTCGAAATATTACATCCATCATGTATTTTATAAAATTAATAAATGCTTACATGCAAATTCTTCTGCACGAAGTTTAGAACAAGGTAGTAAGCATGCACAAGCCTACCTTTAAAACTGTCTCGTTGGTCAACAATGCAACTTGCTTTTCCGAAGGCTGCTTTTCAACATACCTACATTTTTAATATCCCATACAGAAAAAGGAAATGTTAAGCAATTTACATATTTGAATAGCATGTTAGAAAAAATAACTACCTACACTGGTTTCCCTACTTTTTCATATCTTTTTTTAAAATATAATTTATTTAATTTTATTTTATGTGCATTAGTGTGAAGATGTCAGATCCCTTGGAATCGACATTACAGACACTTGTGAGCTGCCATGTGGGTGCTGGGAACTGAACTGAAGCTGGGTCCTTTAGAAGAGCATACAGTGCTCTGAACCACTGAGCCATCTCTCCAGCCCTTTCATATCTTCTTAAAAATAAATTCGAGATTACCTTAATGATGACTAGTGAAATCATAAAGACCATATACTCCAGATATAGGAAATGTTATTACTAAAAGGTAACTCTGAATAATTTGCAAAATGCATAAAGTATTAGCAAAGATATTTTTTTAATGTCAAATTTTTAAATCCAACAAAGAAACTCCACCATTAAAAGCAGCATGGTTCTATAGTGCAAAATAAAAGGTCTATCATTCCACTCATAATTTCAAAACCAACTTAAACTAGGATCTTTCACTTCATCCTCGTCTCTAGTACAAGATACATTAAATATACTCATCTTTTTACCTCCTAAATGAAGGAAGGCGACGGACGTTTTCACACTGATTAACTGAGAAAAAATTTATTCTTTTCTTGGCTTCTGGGAGATCGCAGCACAGAACACTCAGGGGCTGGGAATAAAAATGTTCTAGGAGAGAAAGCTGAAAGAAATATGGAGATATTTATTATAGTTTGACAGTAAATATTTTGCCCTATACCTGCTGAATATTAAGACTCTTTTTTTTAAGAGCAAAGGTATAATTATGGTTGGGGTTGGAGAGATGATTCATCTACAGGCACTTATTATTCTTGAAGATGAACAAGTTAGGTTCCCAGCTACTATTTGCAGCTTCATTTCCAAAGAATCCAAAATTCCCTTACGACCTTCAAGGCAATGAACACGTGGGGAACAAACATACTTCTAGGAAAAATACACATAAAGTAAAAATAAGTATTAAAAAATGTCAACAATAGCATTGCAACAACACTTATACACCTGTACTATTTTCAAGGCTACAATTCTGTGGACAAGGTCAGAAAAAGTAAACTCTGAAACATATAAGAAAATATCACAAATGGCTATATTACTGCAGAAACCACTTAAAACGATTGCAACTGTAATCGAGATGGGACTAGAATATGGCCTAAAGGTCTAACAGATGTCTCCTCCACAATTACCTACTAGCCGACCTGTCTGTTCAAATACATACAGTGCTGCAATGGCGGATGTTATGCCTGCCAAGAAGAGTAACAAATATCTGCACCTTCAAACTCACTTTTATCCCATTCAAGAAAAAAAAAAGGCACACTGACCACTGAAGTCCTCAAACAATAGATCACTGTAGTCTCCCTAGAAACAACTTTCCAAATTCTAATGTACTTTATTTAAAAATTCAAATGTACATTAAAATGAAAGATTATAATTTTTTTTTTCTGAACAAGCTTCTCAGGATAATTTTGTGTATTCAGATAACCTTGTATCCCACTTTGCTTTCTATTGCTATAATAAATTTCATGACCAAAAACAACTTAGAGAAGAAAGTTTATTTGGCTAACATATCCCAAACAGGGCCCATTATTGAGGGAAATCAGGGCAGTAACTTGGTCATGAGCAGAGGTAGTGACCATGGGGAGATGGGACTTCCTGGCTTGCTTTTAGACTCATGTTCAGCCACTTTCCTTAAAGAACCACACTTCACACCCAGGGTGACTGCCCAAGCAGGTTGGGCTTTTCCATATCAATCAGCTATCAAGAAAATGCCATGAAGACATGCCCAATGTGATGGAGGTATTTCCTCACTTGAGTTCTTTCCTCCCAGGTAACTGTACATCAAACTGACAAAAACTAACTAGCACACTGTGTTACTGGACAGTTAGTTCCTTAAGTAATAGAAAAAGCATATTCTACTCAGTAGAAAATAAGCATTCCTCACAGGAAATTAAAAATTTAACATGCTCTTCTATAAACAAATTTTATAATATGTGATAGGCTAAAGGGTTCTATGATATATTTCATCTATTCCTACCTAGTATCTTGAGAGCTTTTATACAAAATAATTTCAACTTGCCAAAGGCCCTGTCTTTGTCCATTAAGACAGTCACATGACTTCTCCCTAAGTCCATTTATGTGCTGCCCTGCATGCATTAAATTATTATCAACTGTCCTTGCATACTAAGAATGAAATCAATTTGATCACAGTGTATGATCTTTATATTGATCAATTTGGTTTCCAAGTATTTTACTGATAAGCTCTGAAGCTATACTAGAGAAATATGCAATTTTTTTGATGTTGTGATTGAGTACTTAGCTGGTCTCAGCCTCGAGGTAATACTACCTTTACTAAATGACTCTGGAAGCACCCTCTTCTATTTATGCAGTTGTCTAGGACAGTGGTATTAGTTATTCTTAAAACTGCAGTATACCTGGCAGGAAATCTGCCTGGTCCTGGCCTTTCCTTCACTGAAAAATTATTAATCTTGATAATTCATGTTTCTAGAAATTTATCCATTTATTTCCATTTTATAGTTCACTAGAATTAAGCTTCTACAATTATTTCTTAATTATTTCAGTATTACTTTCCATCTCTAATTAACGTGGGTCTTTTTAGAGGTGGCTACTTTGGCTATGAGCTTATCAAGCTTATGTTTTCTAAGAATCAACTTTTGCTTCTTCACACAGTATCTAATCTCCACTTCATTTATTTCTGCTCTGATCCGTATTACCTCCTTCAGTATACTAATTTGAAACTTGGCTTATTCTTGTCTTTCTTCTATAAACCTCAAAGTATATTTTTTTTCTAGCATTGCTTACACAAAATTTTAACTGTGGGTTTACTCTTCTACCTCCTTTGCTGGCCAATGAACAATGTGAAGACAGAATTCCTTTCCCTCTGTATATCTAGGACTCAGCACAGTGTCTCTTTACTTTAAGTGCCTCGTATTTCATAAATAAACAAATGAACAGTAGAACAAATTTTTGAGGTTACTCTCTCATTTAGTTTCATAAATTGCTAAGGTAAATTCTGTCTTAATTTTAAATCTTTGTTTAAAACATCAGTGACAGCCAGGCAGTGGTGGCACATAGCCATTAATCCCAGCACTCAGGAGGTAGAGGCAGGTGGATCTCTATGAGTTCCAGCCTGGGATACAGAGTTAGTTTCAGGACAGCCAGAGCTATACAGAGGTACCCTGTCTCTAAAAGACGAAAAAAAAAAATTCTTTAAATCAGTGAAGCAAAACCACCATGATTACAACCAGAAAGAATACATATGAGCCAGGTGTGGTGGTGCACGCCTTTAATTCCAGAAGGCAGAGGCAGATGGATCTCTGCATTCAAGGCCAGCCTAGTCTATAATGAGAGTTCTAGGACTACACAGAGAAAGCCTGTCTCAAAAGCAACAAAACAAAAAAATTTACGAGTTTCAAAGCACTATCAGAAGATGAAGATTATCATATTAGACACTTGCAATGAAGGTTACAACATATAGGACTTAATGAAACTGGTAACTCGCGTGTACTCACAATGACTACACTTTGACAACTTAGGGAGTGCCAAGGAAAATAATTAATATTATCTTTGAAACAACTGAAAAATTGGGGTCTTTTTCGGGTTAGAACCAATGTTGTGAAGTTAAAATCAAGAGTTAGCTTATGGCATTTCATACAACTCCAATGATGCATTCCCAATACATAAAAATATTAACAAACACATGTGCACCAAATATCAAACTACAGCACATCACTTACTTCTATATATTTAGAAACTAGAACTGTGGTTTTACAGCTTGCAGTGTTGGTTAGCAACAGCCACAAACCCACCCAAGAGCAAAGCTGCAGACGGCCACTCTCTGGTGGTCAGTGAAGCTTAATGGCATTTCTTAGGTAAAAAGCCTCTAAGATTTCATCAAGTCCTAAATAAAAATATGTCCTTCCCTCCAGCCCACATCTCAGCAGTTAAGACTAGCTAGAATGGACACCACTCCTTTTCCATTACTGACATTCTAATTTATCTTCTATGAGTGGCTTCAAGGTAAGAAAGAAAAGATAGGAACATGGAATTTACTTTTTCTAGATTTTGCTACTAAAATGCCTTAGACATCACACTAGTCAATCTGAAATATTGTAAACTATTTATAATTAGATGAACTTTCAAACTCATCAGTCTTTTCTTACCTTCAGTCCTTTGATGAAGTTTTGTATTGAGAAATCATGATACAGAAAGATGTTGGTCAGAACCTGTAATGCTTTTTTACTTATTTTAAAAGGAAACTGGGCTGTAAGAAGCAGCTGAAAGAGATGGAAGACATACTCTTTAGTCTTCCCTCCTCATGAACACGAAATATAAATAACTAGACAAAAAATTATACTGTGACAGAACAGATATGAAAGCAATAGTAGCTATCCTTTTTTAAAGGTCAAAAGCCAACCAAATCATAAACCTTATTTATTTAAGACTAAAAACACCAAAAATCAACTCATATTAAATCCCTCTTGTTTGGGACAGGGACTCACCAGTGTAGCCTGGCTAGCCTCAACTTGATATGTTTACCAGACTCACCAAAATAAAACCCAGAGATCTGTTTGTCTTTCTCTCCCAAGTACCACCACTCCTATCCTCAAACTACACTCTGAGCCAAAGATGTCTACCAAATTTCATTAAATCCTAATCTTCAAATAATGCATATTAAATACATAACCCTTTGTCTTACAACAGCACATACCAAATAATGTTCTTTTTTTTTTTTTTAATATAGAGAAATTTGTATTATTTGGTTAGTTTTCAATGGCCTACAGTGATACTTCACATGCAAACTGAAAATTTTTTTCCTAATGTGTCAATAAATTAGGTTGTTGTCTGTTGTGGACAGACATGTAGAAGTGGCTAGTAGATGAACACAAAGGTTGTCACCATTAACCTATAAAACCATCATTAATGGAATCAAGAATGAGTCTCTGGAAGTCAATAAAAAAAGAACCATACTGTTGTTTACACAGAATCATTATAGCAGTTAAAATCTACAGTTAGGAGCTGTTGTTAAGAGCAACATGACATCTGCTAAAATGCACAAAAACCTTTAGGGCTAGAGAGATGGCTCAGAAGTTAAGAGCACTAATGGCTGCTCTTCAGGAGGACTGGGGTGCCAACCTCAGCACCCATATGGTGGCTCACAGCCATCTGTAACTCCAGCTCTAGAGCTGCAACACCCTATTCTGACCTCCACAGGCACAGTATGCACATGGTGCACACACACATATATGGAGACAAAACATACATACACATAAAATAAAAATAAATCAATCATTTTATATAAAATATAAGATCAAAACATCCTGGAAATGCTAAGTCTACAAATTCTCTACCATTTTACTTATTAATTTCAGTGCTCTCTTCCACACTGCCAGACAAGCACTCTATTAGTTAGCTGTATCTCTAGACCCTTCCTTATATTTTAAAAGCTTAATTTCCTCAACTAAGTAATAAAAAGAACAAATACATACAAATGATCATTGCTTTCATAAAGCTTATTTCTTATCTGAGAAGGCAATTATATGTAGAGACTAAAAAACATAATTGAGTAAAAGCATTAAAATATAAAATAAGTTGAGCGAAGTCTAAGATCTATGAGGATTTATTATATATCTGTCTGGTAGTTTAGTTTCACTCCATGCCATTGGTAAATGCTTTTGTTTTTACCTTATCAAGAACTACTGTCAGGTGTTCCTTGCAAGACAAAGACTGGAACAGTTCTACACACAACAGAGATGATACTGCATGAGGAAGCAGCCGCTGGATAATAACAGGAGACGTGGCAATTCCAAAAATGAGAATTAGTGGAAATTCATGCAGATGCTGACTAGTTTTTAAAGAAAGATACAAAAGAAGCTTCTTCAGCAAATGTATTCCAATATATTACATTTCAAAATAATTATTTTAAGACACTGTCATTAAGCTTTCTAGGTGATTCATTTTCTTTTTAGAATAAAGACACTAATAATATACTTCCCAGATTCTAATTCTGAACTCCATCCACTAATGGATCCTTTTCTTTTATAAAGAACAGAGACCCAAAATGACCAGAAGATCCCCGTAAGATCAGACTACCAACGAATACAATGTGTCAACTATACATTAATATAATCTCACACATATGTATCTTTATACATCATTCAAAAGCACTGTATTACTTCCTTATATTTTTATTAAGCATGCTGAAGATTATTTCAAATCAACACAACCGAGGCAGAACAAACAGCTTCCAGGGAATAAAACAGCACTATTTGTGAGAGGTTCCACAAGTCATACTTCTTTATATCATAGCTGATCATTTTGCCTGCTCTCTCCTATGTCCTATAGCTTTCCAGAATTGGCTGTATGAGGTTCTATGTTCACAGGAAAAAAGTGTTGTACTCTCTTACAGCTGTTCTAAGCTCTTGGCTTTTGAGGGCCACAGCAACACCAAATCCAAATAAAGGAACATATTGTTACAAACTGTGCAGCACATTTTCAGTGGATGGTAAGAAGTAAAAAAAAAAAAAAAAAAAAAAAAGTCCAAGGACAGTAGCCAGAGGGTGCACTTCAATGGTAGAGAATTTGTTTAGGCATGCATGCAGTCCATTGGGGTGCAGAGTGGGGGAGGGGGAGGGAGTGTGGTAAATACATCTACAACTCGTAGTTTAATAGGGTAAAAACCATCCTAACAAAGCCGCACTCAAAATGAGAATTAGCATAGTTAGCTATGTTAACTAAGAACAGGATAAATCTGACTTGTATTCTCAACCTTATATCAAAAACCAAGAAAATAATTTGCTGAGAGGTCTTTGAACATTCAGTAAAAAAAAAAAAAAAAAAAGAAAAAAAAAATCTAAAATGATTTTCAATTTCATAAAGTTGGTCTTAAAAATGAATATAACTTTTTTTTTTTTTTTTTTTTTTAGTGAAACATAAAAGGGAAGTTTGCACAAAAGCTAAGAACCTGGATATGAATAGTTGAATGGGGACAGGAAGAAAAAGAGAAAGAGGTAAAGATCAAGAAAAACCAAATACATGAAATGCCTTATAGAGCTCTCCTCTGCATGCACTGAAAAATGAAAACAGGGTCACTACATGGCTCAGCAGGTAAAGGCATGCCTGGTGACCACCATTTGATTGGAAGAGAGAATCTATTGTAAAAAGTTGTCCTGTACACCATGGCACATACACCAACACACACACACACACACACACACACACACACTGTATTTACATACACATAGTAATAATGAATGAAAATGTAAAAGGAGATAATTTTTTTTAAAAAAGCAACTATAGGTCAGGCTACCTGCTGATGATTATAAAGTCTTGGAGTACTTTTGTGCTGAAACTCTCCATATTCTTCAAGATAAGCACAACAGGAGGAGACTGCCATTGGCCAGAAGTAGTCCTCTTTTTGCTTGTTATTTTTGGGCATGTCTTCTTTTAAGCCATGTGGAATGGAAAAGTTAAAAGTAAGCTTTGCCAACCAAACAATTTTATAATATCAGTTGCTAATGTATTTCTTTATATATTTGACAGCGACTGTTTTCATTTTTTCCAAATAATAAACAGTATCTCATTCTAACACACCAAATCCAAATAAAGTAACATATTGTTACAAACTGTGCAGCACATTTTCAGTGGATGGTAAGAAGTAAAAAAAAAAAAAAAAAGTCCAAGGACAGTAGCCAGAGGGTGCACTTCAATGGTAGAGAATTTGTAAAATCTGTTTCTAGACATAACAGTCAGAAAAAGGTTCAGAAAGACCTATAACAAATATCAGACTATTTTCTACTGAAAACCATAAGGAAAAGACACCTTTCTATCAACTGATTTTTCAGTTGGTGCAGCTATGTGCTAGCATGAGTTGTATTGGTAATGAATGAACCGCACAATGAATGCACTCTTACACACTTTCAATCATGAAAAGGACCCTATTTGGCCAAAGCAAACTTAAAGATAATAACTTAGATTGCAAAGACTTCGATTTGTTTAAAAAAAATTCTAAAATTTAGAATCAAATGAAGGCATTATTGTAAGCGACCTTATATAACATAAGATCAAATTTCATGTAGGATGCTAGCAGAAACATTGATTAGAAAATGTCACCATAGCACTCATACTGTCTGGGGACACAGCAAGGTAGCCTGGGGCTACGGTGTACCACAGGAATACAGGAAGTCTCTCTCTCCTCCAAAGGCAACGTCATACACAGCAGGACGAAAGGACGAAATCTGTACTTTGTTGAACATACTTTACTCAGAAAGTACTGTTTCATTCAATGTGCCTCATTTATACAGTAATATTTCCCCAAGAATTCTGAGCACGGATCAAGCTAAATTGTAAAAATTACAGAAGTACTCAAGGACTAAGGATTTCAGCAGGAATGGGTGATATGGATCTACTAAATAAAAACAAAAACTGAAGATATAACAGCTAATCTAAGGAAAAACAGAATCTGTAACACAACCAACTCCAGATGTTTTCTTTTTGTCATTACATGGAATTCTCCCACAAGCACAATGTCCTCTTAAGAGTCCAAGCACTTATCAGTAATATTTTCAAATTCTAGTAGCTTCGGAAAAAGCAGCTACCATAAAACTCCTACTATTGCTTCACAAACACATGCTTACTAAAGAGTGACTTAAGTAAAGCATCTGAGGCGATTCCCTGAATATTCAGTTTTCTTTTACCTGTGTGACAGTGGCATACCAGCTGGAAAGTGAATCCATTGAATCATTTGTCTTTCTGGGGATCCTAACACGTTTCCCCTCTTCGGAGTCGCTCTCAACACAGCAGTCCATCAACTGAGAGGTCAACTTTTGTAAAAAATGTCTCACATCTGCAGAATATAAAAAGCAAAAAGACTTATCTGCATTTTTAAGACAAAATGAAACTATATTTCACCCAATAGTTAAAAATATGCTAAGTGTATTATTATTACTATTAGTCCCTATCCTCAATATTTAAGTTTCATTTGGGCTGGACACATTCAGTTGATAGTGTGCTTGCCTAACATCCACAAAGTCCAGAAGCTGACAACCAGAACTATATAAAAACAAATGTGGTGAAGCATGTCGGAAATCCCTGAAGACAGGAAGACCAGAAGTTCAAGGTCACCGCCTGCTACATGGTACATTCAATGCCTGCCTGAGTTACACGAGATCCTTTCTAAATAACATAAACAAACATATTTCGTTAGTTCATTAAGGAGTCTGGTAATGGGAATTCTGCCTCCTGGCCTTGGCAGATTCGGGTCTTATCCATAGTTCCATTTCTCAGAGACTGTCCTTGGCGGTCTCTGCAGGTGGGGTGCTCTGAGCCTGAGAAGCAGATAGCAAGCTCCCTGCAACCTTGGGAACCAGACAGCAAACTTTGTGTAACCTTGAGTGAATTCCGCCTTGCAAGGTGGCACAGATGTGTTGCTACTGTGAAAAAATTTTGCTTGTAACCTTTGCTTTGTGTTGTTTGCACATTCAGTAAACTGAGACTTGATCAGGAATCTGTCTTGTCTCCATTCTTCGCGTCTCTGTCCCCCAATATTCACTCCCTCTTTCAGGTGGACCCCATTCGACTAGCCCGTGGGACGGGTCAAGTTTATACTAAGATCAGATCAAAATTTATCTACAAGTGTTATCTAAGAAAATATATAAGGACTGGAGAGATGGCTCAGAGATTGAGAGTACTGGCCGATCTTCCCAAGGTCCTAAGTTCAATTCCCAGCAACCACATGGTGGCTCACAACCAATCATAATGAGATCTGATAGCCTCTTCTGGTGAGCAGGCATACATGCAGGCAAAACACTGTATACATAATAAATAAATATTTTTTTAAAAAAGAAGAAACTATATAAGCAGGGAATTATAAATCATTTTTAGAATGTCATGTATTTACATTATTCTGAATGACAAAAGAATGTATTGGCCCTTAAAAATCAAAAGTTACAGCTGGCCATGGTAGCAAATGCCTGTAATCCCAGCACTCAGGAGGCAGAGGCAGGCGGATCACTGTGAGGTCAAGGCCAGCCTGGTCTACAAAGCAAATTCAGGCCAGCCAAGGCTACACAGAGAATCCCTGTCTCAAAGAAAAAGAAAAAGAAAAAAGAAAAGAAAAACGTTACATAAATTATTTCACTGATTATAAATCTTTATTTACAATCATTTTTTAAAGACACCCTTAAGATAGTAATTCTAATTTATCACAACAAAACTACTACATTACATGTACTATTACTTCAGATGGAAACAAATTTGAGTGTGACGGTACACACTCTAATGTGGCGGCTTTGCATGCAAACCAAGCTGGGCATGGTAATGTACACTCTTCATGGTTTAATGTCTTTACACGCTCAAGGCGGGCTTTGCCCATGGACTAGCTAACTTTGAGCCATCTGTGGCTTTTCAAGAGGAAAAGTAAACTGATTTATGGCAATGAGTGAAAATGAGTGAGATGTGCACAGACCATGGGGAAGGAGGTTAGAGGTGAGCACAATTTTGTAGCATCTCACCAGGAAACCACGGGATTCATATTTTACCTGGACAATCCTTAGCTTGCAATGAGACTACATATGGTGTGACATTGTTCTGAAGGGTCTCTGTTAGACTTCTGAATATTAAATTGTGATCTGTGACATTCACACCTATGAGAAAATAAACACCATCGTGTCATCATCTTTCTTAATAATTGAACAAAGGGTATTTTAAAAAGCCAACAAAGCACTAAGTAAAATTGATTTAACAACATGATTTGCAAAAGAAATGAAGAAAACTGCAGCACAATTGATTCACTCACAGGACACGATCTAAAGGAATGTAGTACAGTTCAGTTACTGAATAGCTCAAGGCCCAGGTGTTGAATCTGAGAGTCTTACTGGGGATGGTGAGACTTTTAAGAAGGTGGGAACTACTGGAAGAAGTTGCTGTGGTTCTGCTTTAAAGGGAGAACTGGACAATCTGTGACCTGTAATCCCAGCACTCAAAAAACAGAGGCAGGCAGATCTCTGTGAGTTTGAGGCCAGCCTGGTCCACATAGTGAGTTCTCAGATAGCCTAGGGGACAGAGAGACCCTATCTCAAATAAATAACTAGACAAATTTTTTGGCATTTAATCAGATAGCAGTACATATCTTCAAACTGCTTGAGACTTGTCATACAAGTTATAGGGTTTACTAAAAAGAAAACTTTCAGAATCATTCATGTCAGCAATAATCCCCCTTAACAAATTCCAGAAAACAAATACATGAGCAAAATACGTAATGTGTTGTCTGTCTGTCTGTCTGCTTGCTTGCTTGCTTGCCTGCCTGCCTTCCCACCTATCTATTTCTAGCAGTTATTGTGGTTTGAATGAGAACAGCCCACATAGGCTCATATAGTTAAGTGCTTGGTCCCTAGTTGGTGGAACTGTTTGGGGAAATTAGAAGATGTGGCCTGTTGGAGGAAGTGTGTCACCATAGGGTGGGCATTGAGGTTTCAAGGGCCACACCAAGCCCAGTCTCTCTCTATCTATTTCCAACTTGAGGGGAAGATGTAAGCTCTCATCCACTGCTTCAGCACCATGCCTGCATGCCTGCCTGCTGTTATGTTCCTCACCATAATGGCCATGGACACACCCTCTAAAACTGTAAGCAAGCTCCCAATTAAATGCTTCCTTTATAAATTGCTTTGGTCATGGTGTCTCTTCATGGTTCATGACAACAGAACAATAACAAAGAGAGCAGGTTATTTCTAAAAGGCTATACGTAGTTTAAAAACAACCAACCAACCCCAGGAAGACAGTAACTGTGCTCAGAGCCTTCAGTGTTACACTCTTCCCAGCACTCACCAACCTCTATAATACAAATAATGCATCTCTAAACAAAATGAAAACTTGAGTTAAACAATGGCTTATCTAGAAGACTCCATAAAATCTATTTAACATTATGTTCCCTGAAACAACAGATCTTACTTCAACAAGATAATCAACAATGTTGAATAAATTATAATTTCAAAGAAGGTAACTTGTACAAATTTTTCAAAATGTTTTTGTCCCCACTTTTTTTCTAAAAGATTTTCTTCCTGCTTATGTGTGTCTTTGTATGTCAGTGTGAGTGTGCATATTAGTGCTGGCACACCTGAGCACAACTGCACTGAAGCAGGAGTTAGCCCTGAGCTGGATGTTGGCAATCATAAGCTGCCCAGCACTGGTACCAGGTCCCAAACTATTCTCTCCTAAAAGAGCAAGAGCTCTGAAACAGTAAGCCACACCTCTGAGCCTTCAACACATGTTCTTAACTGGAAATTCTCAGGCCATAAATTTGCAAAATGTAATTTCTATTTTCTTGTTGACAGGAAGAAGGGCAGAGTAAATCCTCACAACTTTTATCAAGGCATTTCTCTAACTTTGCTTCTTGCCACCACCTCTACTGCAGCCTGCCAGTACTCAAACAAAGCACTTGAGAGTTGTAGGCCATCAGAGGGTCAAGTTCCCCATTCACAACTGCAAGGGGTCTTCAAATCAGATAGCAGAATCTCCCCCTCTGAACACACACAAATATTCTCAATAAAACACTTCTAAGCCAAACTCAAGAACAAATCAAAAAGACCATACCACCTAATCAAATGGGCTTCATCAAAGAAAAGTAGGGATGGGTCAACATATAAAAGTAAGTAAATATAACCCACTACAGAAACAGACTCAAAGACAAACCACATTAGATGCAGATAAGGCCTCTGACAAAATCCAACATCCCTTCATGAAAATAGGCCTGGAAAGGCTAGTGATATAGGGGACATATCTTGAGATAATAAAGGTAACATACAACAAGCTCATACCCAACATCATGCTAAAAGGAGAAAAACTCAACTCAGATCAAATCAGGAATAAAACTAGGATGTTTACTCTCTGTGTACCTGTTTAATGCAGTGCTTGGATTCTTAGAGAAAATGACAAGTGAAGGTGACGAAGGGGTTATAAACAGAAAATGAGAAAGTGAAAATATTGTTATTGATGATATGATTCCACACATATAAGACCCTAAGAACCCCACCAGGAAATTGCAGCAGCTGATGAACACAACAGATGCTGTCAATAAAAAGGCCGGGTATGGGTCACCTCTTTTTCAGTTGTTGGTCGGTGGGGTCCTATAGATCCCTACCACACATTACAGACTACCGTCCCAGAACCTGAAGCCCAACTGCTGAAGACACTAAGTACTACTAGGGCATAGAGGAGTCAGCTGGTACAGACCTGGAAGCTTTGTCCCTACTAGATAGCTTTTACAGGACTGAAAGAAAGGCTCTACGCATGCTACCAGGGGAGAAAATCATCAACAATCTCACCCAAATGTGAACCCTTCACTTTGGGAGCCAGGCCAACGCAAGGCTTTCTCAGAAGCTCTGATAAAAGGACAAAAGGGGACACTACTTCTGTGCCCTTGCCCAGGGACAGAATTAGCAAGGTCCAGTCTACAGCTTGGGTAAGGGCCTTGAGGGAGTTAGTTTATTGAAACCTCGCTTCTTTCCCCCAACCCCTGCCACCCAAAGAAACTGGAGTTAATGGGACCAGGGCTGCTGAGTGCTCAGCTTGTGATGCATTTGAGACCCTGTCTTCACTTGAGTCACTACTTGAATCAACTTCCTGCTAACTTCATCCCACTGTATGAAAGCATTCTGATGACTCTGTCCCATTTTCCCTATAGTGTATATAAGATGCTGTATTTCCTAATAAACTTGCTTGGCATAAAACATAAAACATAGCTGATACATGGGTCTCCTGGCCCCAACTTTCCTGTCTTTACTGTTTCTGATCTCCTGGTCTCCTCTTCAGGAACCTGTCACTGAGGAACTACCAAATGGTCCAGGTCACCTTCAAGATACAATAATGGTTGGGCTGGCAAGTCATTCTCATGCTCTGTCCCTCTAGTGTGCTAGGATCACAGGTGTGTACCACCATGCCTTGCCTATGTCATTTTTTGTTTTTACAGGTCCGGGTCACCATCAAGGCACAGTAATAACTGGCCTGGTAAGACATTCTCACTGGTGCAAGAGTAGCGCAGGAGTAACCATGTTCTGATTGACTGAGTCATCCTTCAACCCTCCTCAAAGAAGCTCTTTTGGAGGAGAAGGTGATTAACAAAAAGACATATAGTCAACAGGCAGAGAATTAGCCTGTGGAGCGCATAGTTCTAAATGGACATTTGTATCATATGGCCTTCACCCAAGGTTCAGAAAGCATTGCAGAAAAGTGGAAAGTTTTTAAGAGCCAGAGGGAGAGATGCCTGTGCTGAAATAGTATTAGTCAGACAAAGCAGCGGAGTTACACACATGAACTCAAGAGAGGATGTCACTGCATGCAGACAATTTTCACAAGAGCTAGCCAAAATACCAGCATAGAGAGAAGTGAGGCTTACGAAGCTCTGCCTTTAACTGAGGAGCTATTGCTGGCCACTGGGACAAGAGTCAGATTTCTCCAAGGATGGGGACCTGAGAGAGTACTTGTGTTCTGGTAGATAGTCCACATCCATGAGCATACTGACACAACTAAATAGACTCAGTAGGTATGAGTGAGAAAGAGAAAGAAAGCCAAAGCAGAAGAGAATAAAAGTCAATTCATTGCAAATATAGTTGAGGAGGAAAGAGTGGGAGCCAGGGGAAGACCTGGAGGGGAGGACACAGTGAGTAGATTTGACCTAAACATACATGCAGGAACAGATAGTAGATAAAATATTAAATGATAGGGTGCAATGGCAGTTGGTCTATGGAACTATAAGCACCATTCAAAGAAGCCTGCTACTGAAGCTGATCCTGAAATCAGCAGTATGGCATCAGTGGGAAGGTAGGATTTATTAGTAAAAATTTAACTTTATTCGTGATTGCTCTGCTCTACTCTCAGACAGGGTCAGTACTGGAATACAAACTGGCCTGGAGCTCACTACATAAATTAGGCTGTCTCTTTGAGTTCTTAGTTCTCCTGTCTGTCCTTTGAGAGATCATAGGTGTGTGCCACCAGGCTTTGCCTAGGTCATGGTATTTTTTACTTTTACTATGCATGTATGGGTATTCTGCCTGCTTGTTTGTCTGTGCAGCATACATGTGCAATGCTCACAAAGGTCAGAACATGGAGAAGCCTACGCACAGCCTTCACCCCCCTGACCAGTGTTCTCTGCATGTTACCAGTGGAGAAAGGTCCAGCTACAGACTCTGCAATCTACAGTATTAACCTGCCGGCATGATATCCTGCTGCAATAGTGGCACACAGGTGAGAGTAACCAACCACTATCCAATTGGATTTAAGGCCCACTCTCTCAGATGGAACCTGTGCTGGACACTGCTTCAGTGGCCACGATTCCAAAAAAAGATAGGAAAACCAAATACTATTGTTCTGCTAAAGGAACACAGCAATAAAATGACCCCTAATTAGTGCCTTGTTCACTCATCATCAACTACCTCTGGTAGTTAGATGAGACCCAGGCCCAAAAATGGGCAGTGTTAAGACAGAGAGATCTTTTTGGAACACTCAATTCTAAATGGAATGTCTTCAAACTATTCCTATCATGGCTCAGGGAACTATACAGAAGGGGCGGCAGAAAGACTCTAAGGGCCAGAGGAGATTGAGGACACCAAGAAAACAATGTCTTCCTGACACAAGACTGACACATGTATCTCAGAGACTGTAGAGTACACAGGGCTGCACAGGTTCAAGCCAGGCAGGTTCCCAGTGCTCAGAGCTGGAAGTCACAAGAGCCATTAAGTTTCTAACCCTAATTAAGAAGCTATGTTCAAGTAGTACCCATAGGCAGAAGAAAACTTAGTTTTCTCCAATGGAGTCTCACTGGGCATATTAACCACACTTAAGGGCAGGCCCCAGCAGTAAATGGCCACCAAAAAAAATGAACTCAATGGTATTTCTGCAGACTTTTTGCCTCATATTGCTGCGTTTATGCATTTTTTGTCTTATTGGTCTTTTGCAGGTATATTTTGGTGTTCAATTTTGTGATTTTATGGGTTTTGCTGTGTGTATGTGTGTGTTGTGCTTTTTATTTGTTTTCATTTATTCTGGTTTCCATGTTAACCTGAAAAAAAAAACCGTATTTAATGAGATAGTTTTGTATTTTTCTGAAATACAAATATTTCCTATAAATTAGATATTAGTGATGCATATTTTCAAAAATTATAACCTGTAATCTGGAAACAACTTAAATACAATATAGCTAAATCCTTCCCTCCGCAATCAATATTAACAGAGTATCTGAAATTGAGATTTCAAATGCAAGAAATAAAATAAGCAGCACAGATAAATTTCACTGAAGATACAATTTTTTTAAAAAGGTAGAAAAAAAATTTAGGTCCATGAACACACTGTTATTTTATTACTGAATTCAAATTTCATTACTCTAAAATAACACATAAAGAATGAATAAAACAAAGATAGCTCTCCTCAGAAAACATATAACAATGTACCAGCTAGAGCTGTTTCCTTTAATCTACAGATACATGAATATATAATGAACTTTTATTGGTTTACAAAGTATGTAAGTCAAAACACAGTTCTTTTCATTTTTAAGAGCAAAATATTTTTCACTAGTCTCAATATAAAAACTAATTTAAGAGGCAGGAGAGATGGCTCAGTGGTTAAGAGCACTGTCTGCTCTTCCAGAGTTCCTGAGTTCAATTCCCAGCAACCACATGGTGGTTCACAACCATCTTTACTGGGATCTGGTGCCTTCTTCTGGCTGGCAGGTGTGCATGCAGATAGAGCACTCATATATAAAATAAATCTTAAACGATTACCTGAAAATATTTTTAAAAATTTGAAACTATGTACAGGTGTGTGCGAAGAAACAGATGCATACATACCAAGAATAAGAGCAGCAGTAGGAATTTCTCTGAGTTTCATGTGACATCCCCAGTTTTTTGAATGTTTCTGGAATTCAGAATGGGACTTCTGTAGAAAGTCAACTAGGCTATCAAACAGATTTTCACTTAATTTCTCCTGTAATTGCTGCAAAGAAAACAAAACCTCATGAATTATTAGTAGTCGTACTTCTTTTCTTTCTTGGTGTAGGGAAGTCTCAATTTTTTTTTCCATTGAACATTCAGTAATTTCAGTTGATAAAGCGGCAGTAGATTAACAGAGCAGGAACCCTACAGCTACATCAACACACAATACACAGCACAAAATATATTCAGAAAGAAGAGAAGGGCAAGATGGCTGAAACTTAAACTGCATTTGATATGCAGAAAAAACTATCGCAGAAGGAGAAAGACAAACACGGTATATACTCACTTATATAGACCTATAAGATATGATAAACAAAATGGAATCTACACACCTAAAAAAGATAATCAAGAGAGCGGACATGGGGTAAGATTATCAATCTTCGTTTAGAAAGACAGATGGGATGCGCATTGAACATATGACAGGAGTCTACTGAGTGCATTTGTAAGACTCTAACTAGCAGTGTTTTCAAAGCAAAGACTCATGACCAAACCTTTGGCAGAGTACAGGGAATCATAAGAAAGAAGGGGAGTTAGTCTGATGAGGAAAGGATAGGAGCTCCACAAGGACCAAATATATCTGGGCACAGGGTCTTTTGTGAGACTGACATGCAACCAAGGACCATGTATGAATGTAACCTAGAACCTCTACTCAGATGTAGCCTGTGGTAGCTCAGTAACCAATAGGTTTCCCATAGTGAGGGGAACGAGGACTATTTCTAACAGGAACTCAATGACTGGCTCTTTGGCCTCCCCACCCCCCAAGGGAGGAGCAGTCCTGTTGGGCCACAGAGGAGAGCTTTGCAGCCAGTCCTGAAGATACCTGATAAAACAGGATCAGATGAATGGGGAGGAGGTCCCCCCCATCAGTGGACTTGGCAAGGGGCACGGTGGGGATGAGGGAGGGAGGGAGGGACTGGGAGGGAATGAGGGATCGGGACATGGCTGGGATACAGAGTTAATAAAATGTAACTGATAAGAAAAAAATAAAATTCAAAAAAGAAAAAACTGTTGGGGGGGACAGGTTGAAGTTTGGGAAGTAAAGTGGGGAATAGGGATGGCAAGTTACAGAAGTGTGAAAGTAAATCCGATGGTCATCGTGCAGATGAAGTCTCCCAGACAACAATCACTACAAGGCCAGTGTGGTGATCTCTGCCAGGGTCAGGAAGTAAACCCTTAGGTTTTTCTTCTTGGACATAATCTTTCCTTAGACAAGAGGATATTGGATAAACAAGCCTCTTCATGAACCTGTTTTATGTTGATAAATGTAAATTTCATCTTACAAACGATGGCTTCTCGGAGCATTCCTGTTTCTGTAACTTCTCAGAATAGCCATTTGGAAATATGCTGAATTACAGGCAGGGTCTGGAGACATGGCTTGGTAATCTAAGATCATATACTGCTCTTGTAGAGGACCCGATTCAGGCCTCAGCACCCACATGGTAGCTCACAACTGTCTCTAACCCCGGCTCCTGGGGTCTGACACATTTAGCCTCTTCAATATACCTACACACGTGCGTGCATACCTACACACAGGCAGACATGTAGACATAATTAAAAAAATAAAAAATAATGCTAAAGAGAGAAGTATATTTTGGGGTATCCTACTTTGACCCTTGCCGGTTTTAGAAAGAGAAGTATTACAGATTCATTTGAGGATTATATATGAAATAAATAACAGGTAAATTAAATTTAAAAAAGAAAAGCTTTTCCTTAAATTTCTGGAGATTAGTTAGGTCTTTGGATTACTCCATTTAAGTCTCTCTCATTTACTCGTTCCATCCCACTCATTAATTATTTTGTGGCCATGAAAGACAGCCTTTCCTCTAAAAAGGTGAAGAGACAAATGTGGAACCATCTACTTTACGCTGAAGAGGCGACTCACTTGAACCAGGGCACAATCAGATGATGCAGAGGGTGACAAGAAGCAAAGGTAAATAAGAAGAATGACAAGCTGTAGAAACAAAGAAAAAAGAAAGCACCAAACATCTGGAGGACCCCTCTACAGCTAAGTATGAAATGATCCAACGTAAGAGGAAAACAGGCTGCATGAACAGGTAAGGTTCTAGACCATGAAACAAATACCATGAATTAAAAGGATTTGGATGTTATACTGTAAAGAGGACCCCCACAGAGCTATAAGGAGTGACAGATAGAGCAACACACAATGCACAGCACAAAATGTACGGAGAGGAAAGAGAAGGAGGACCTATAATACATTAATACACAGTAAGCAGACAAAATGTACTGAGGGAATAGAAGGGGAAAACACACACGTTAACACACAATGAACGAGCACACAATGTACTGAGAGGAAACAGGTATACCTTACACCTCTGGAGATTACTGCTTTGGATTAATTTGCACCACTGTGAAAGTCAGAGGATAAAGGAGGTGGTACTGGTAAGGGACTATATGAAACCCATCCCAAAGTTTGGGCGAGCTGAATTTACATAAAAGGGGGAATGTTTCTAATATAACTCAGAAGCCAACACAGCTAGTGGAAGGCTAGAAGACTGTGATGTCAGGAACACAGGTCACGGGATATCACGACAATCTAGCCTAAGAAATGAAAACAGGAGCTTTTGAGGTTTGTCAGCAGTCCCAACAGACAACTGCAGCTCTGTTCCCAGGGGGTGGTTTACAATGACCTTGTGAACTGCAACTCCAGTGAATTCAATGCTCTCTCCTGGCCTCTGAAGACACTTGTCCTCCTGTGCACTCACATACACAAATAATTAAAAATAAAATAAATCTTAAGACAAAAAGAAAACCTAGAAGACAGCCTAAGTTGGAGACCATAATCTCAAGTTTATCTCCAAGAACTACATGGAAAACCTCAATGAGAAAGTGACGTGTAAAGTAATAAAGACAGGTTCGGGAAAGGAGGCGAGCTGGGAGAATGGCTCGGTGTAAATGGCAAATGTAAATGTTGTGCAAGCATAAGGACCTGAATCACCCACATAAAAGCTGTGTGTAACTCTCATTCAAAGCCAAAGCACTAGCAGTGTACTGCTTAAGCAAAAGAAGCTGTTGTCACCGGAGTTCTTGCTATACTCAAGACAGTCACAACCAGAACTCCAGAACACGTAGTAAGCTCTAGGCCAGCCTGAGACAGTGCTCAAACTGTCTCAGGAAGAAACCAAAACAAACAAAGCCCAAATTTAGGAAAGGCTTCACTTCAGACTTGTGCAACTTCTTAACTGAATTTAAGAGTGTCACCCCAGTAAAGTTCTTTGCCTCACAACTATCATGTTCCAGTAATGAAGGCTATGCTTAACAATTAGAACATGACACCTCATTTTCTTTAAGGTATACAGATTGTGTTTGAACGTTATTTCTCGTTTTCTGTGTATACTAACTCAGCATTAGAGATATGGGAAGTAACAAATACAAGGTTTATAGTATTGTATTACAGAAATATAAAAAGGAAATTATTCACCTCTGTTTCAGATTTCATCCGTTGCCACAGCAAGTGATATGTTTCAAATCGAAGTTTACTGTCCTCAGACTCAAGTTTCTCATGATTAAAATAGTCCTCTTAAAAAAACGAAAAGAAAGGAAAAAAAAGAAACCGCAGAAAGTCAATTTATTTTTGATACAAAATTAAGAGACTGAATTACAGAGACATACAGCATGGGGCGGGGATGTCAAAACATTGTCTATACATCAAAAAAACCACTTATCTATGTATACATTTGGAGAAAAATAATGTACTTTATTTTTTGTAGCTAATTTTATGACTCATTTTTACCATATTAAAAAGGATATATTTTAATTTTTAAAATTAAAAATGTAAAAATTCTATTCCTTACTAATGAATCTCTAAGCTTTTATTTACTGAGTTTTCAGGTCAAGGTAGAAACACACATTAATGTTTTCATCACATCTTCATCTTCTTTACCTTTTATTACTTTCAACTCTTCTATTCAGTAATTTTTTATTCTGTTTTTATACCATTGACATAGTTTAGTCCAGTCTTTAATGTGCATTTTTATTTTTTTATAATTCACTTTTATTAAAAATATTCATGCATTTCCAAGAAAGACAAGAGAGAGTGTTGAATCCTCTTGCCTGGAGCTAACAACAGATGCTTGCTGGCTGCCCTGTGGGTGCTGGGAATCAACCCCAGTCCCTCTAGAAAAACAGCCAGTGTTCGTAATAACTGAGTCATCTCTGTCCTAATGAGTATTATTGTATATCCTTTTTCTATTTTTGTTTTTTTAAGTTTTTCAATACAGAGTTTCTCTGTGTAATAGAATCATGGCTGTCCTGGCACTCCCTCTGTAGACCTGGCTGGCCCAAAACTCACAGAGATCTGCCTGCCTGTTACTGCTGAGTACTGAAATTAAAGGTGTGCACCGCCATGGCCAGCTTATTTTATAGTCATTCTTATTTTATAATCTTTTAAAAGTGTTTTCTCCAGTTGTTTGAAAATATTTTTATTGCAATGGTCTTGAAAAATTTTAAACCATGTTTATCAAGAAATATATTATTTTGAAAATCTAACAAATATATACCCAGCAGATATAAAAATAAAAGTCCTTCCCATAAAAAAAACTTTTATTTTTATTCTATAGCAGCATATATTTCTATTTCACAGACCACTAAAGTAATTTCATAACTTGGAAGGGGTTATGACCTCCAATTTAAAAAATCAGAAATTTACTCATTTATTGACTACTTTGCCATTCCTCCCATTGACCTGTGATGCTTTTAGTTAAACATCATTTTTTGAACTTTTATATTTTGTTCTACTGTTCAATTCTATTTCTATAACAATTTTTCTCCTACTACCATCAAACAATTTTGTTATTTGAGTAAAACAAAAACATGGGGCTGGAGAGGTGGCCTCCCAGTGAAAACACTTGCTTCTCTTGGGTTTGATTCTCAGAATCCACATAATGGTTCAACTATCTGCAGCCACACTCCCTGGGAAACTATTCTTTGGCCTCAGCATTAGGCACCAGCCATGTAATGGATGCACGTACACACAGGCAAAAATACATAAATAAAAATTAAAAATACTAAGGAAAAAAAGCCACATTATGAAATTAATAGTGATTGTGGCATGTCTCAAAAATAACCAACACTAGTTTACTAACTGGATAAAACTGATCCGGAAAAAATGAAAAAAAAAATATCTTTAAAATGGATTTGAAAATCCATATCCAAGCCAAAGATGAATGCAAACCCAGCATCCAGCAAAAGTATCCCAAGTCAGACTATAGTTTAGGCACTAAATTACTAGCTATATTTACTTGAAAATCATATTTTAAAACATTAGTGGCCTGTTACACACTCAAACATTTTATGTTCCTTGCAATTTCCTACTTTCCTCCCCATTCATACTTCCTTCAATCAAGTATTTTGTGTTCCTTAGTTTTCTGTTTACTTCAACATTTCTTCCTCTGTGACAGAGCTGCAGATGGAAGCTTCCTCTCACCTCAGCTTCTACTTGAGTGTGTGTGTGAGCAGCCCTAGCACTGCAGCCACCAGTCTTTCTTCTTAGACTCTTTTCCCAGTTTGACCAACTGTTTTGTTAGATGTGCAGGCTTCCATGATACACTTGCAAGTGGGAGAATTTACCAGTTTTTGCTTAGGGTTATACCTAAATCATTTCTAGTCAGGGGACCTATTACAAACCAAACCCCTCCTTCTCTTATCAATCTTCTTCAAGTATGAAAGTCAGGGAAGGTAACTGCTAAAAAGTGTAATTTATTTTCCTCAACTCCACCCCTTACAATCAGTCAGTACCTTAAACATTTTCGTACTGTAACAATACCTGTTAGTCTTAGGCCAGCACAATGAAAGAAAAATTAAAAAATCTAAAACAAAGCTCAAATTATACTGCTACACACATGAAATGCGAATATTACAAACTGTAAATAATGTCATGTTATTACTGAAATCCAACATAAAAAGTTCTATGCAAACATCTGCCTCACATTAAAAGGTATCATAAACAATGATTAGACCATAGGGTCTAAACTCACAAAGGATGGGTTCAAATCCCAGCTAGATGATGTTACATTATAATACTGGGCCAGTTCTATTGTCTTGGTATCCTCATATGTGTTAATGAGGATAATATTACACCCCTCAATGTTTGCGGAGGAAATTAAACAAACTAAAATACTTAGAACAGTCCACCACACAATAAATGCTTTAATATACTACCAAATGTATCTGTTATAATTACAATGCTGGCAGTTTCAGAGGATACTGCCTGGTATGTGTCTTTCTTATATAATGAAGGAATAAACCCTTAATTTTCTTTAAGCTGTTTCTGGTAAACTCAATCCCCTCCAACATTAAAGATTGCTCATGATGACTTAAGTTTAAGAAGATCTAGGGGAAGAAATCAACAAATTAGATATTAACATCCTTTACCTATTGGCACAGAGATCTTTCTTTTTTTGAAGTCTGGCTTAAACACAAAACAACCCTATTTAAAAAAGAAAGAGGGGAGGGAGAAATAAAGCATAAAGTTAAATTAGGCAAAGAGCAGACAAATCTAATTACTGAAATGCTTTATGAATAAACAAATTCTTTATAAGGTTAAGTTGGGGTGTGAGATACTTCTTTCAATTTCTAAGAAATCATATCACTTTTCTTTGGAATACAGAAGGGAAATTTTTTTGAACAATTATCCATTTCCTTCTACTCAGTCCCATAAGTTGTTCTCGTCTTTAGGACTGTTCTAAGATGCAGACAAATTTTTTAAAGTTCAAGTTTCATAAAACTTAGAAGGGAAATAACACTAATACTGTACATTAAAATAAAAATTAAGTTAAAACACCCATTACAAAAGATTTTTGTTTAATTAACTTTAAGCATCTACAACCAGGATGTAAGAAGATAATTTTGACTCTTTTTTCATTTGACATGTTTTCTCAATTAAAAAACTCCTTTCCTTTTATCCATTTCAGCTTGGCTTAAAACTCATTGCTGGTATCTGTAATCCAGCTGAGGAAAATGAGCTGTCCTGATTGAGGCTAGCCCACAGGGCTGGAGCTAACTGTATAAAGCAGGCTAGCCTCAATCAGGACAGCTCACTTTCCTCAGCTGGATTACAGATACCAGCAAGGTTTAGACATTTGTAATCTGAGTACCTGTGGAAACAAAAGAATCAAGAGTTCAAAATCAGCCAGGCATGGTCATGCATGCTTGTCTGTAATCCCAGCACTCAGGGAGGAAGGGGCAGGTGGATCTCCCTGAAGAGAAACTCAGTCTTGAAAAACAAAAAACAAACCAGAGATTTCAAAGTCATCATCCCTTACATGCCTTTACAGCCAGCTTAGGCATGCAGCCCAATCAAATCAAACAAACCAGGCCTTCATTCTCTTGCGGAAGACCCTACTGGATCTTCTCACCAGAAATGCTTCTCCTGAGATCTTATTACTCAAACATCTTTGCTTTGTCCCCTGATAAATTGTGAGAGTATTTACAGTACGGATGTATTTTCTAACTGACTTCTCAATGTTTATGACAGTACTAGCAAACACATTAGAAGATCAGTACACAGAATGAGTAGAAACTTGTTAAGTAATTTTCCTGGCAATTTTCTAGCTACAATAAGTTTCCTACTATTGCATCTGACTACTGAAACTTAGCTCCTACATTTCTAGTTGTGGTGTTTTCTGCCAAAATGAAAGTTACATTTCATGGATATTCTATTAAGGTTTCCATTACATAGAAAATGAAGATCACAGACTATTGTTAGACAGCTTTGCAAACTATAAAGTGGCCATTTGGACTTCATGTTCCAAATTAAACTGTACCTTATATTCTTTTATTTGCCACTAGTAAAGCTATGTGAATTACTTGTAGATATTTTTAAGAAGTGCATGGTATCCTGACAAGCCTATTACTGCATCCTTTCCATATAGACCTGTTGCAGCCAAACATAAAAAGTTCTAGGATAGTGATATAATGAATACTAGCCCAAGGAAATGAATATAAGCAATGAACATTAATATAAATATATGAGTATTAATATGGTTAACCACATTAGACTAGGCCATCAGTCAAAAACTATGATGAAAAATACCTGTGAAGTTTAAGAAGAAAAATAAAAGGTTTGTGAGTTCCTGACAATTTTTCTTAAAATTTCTTGTTTATATAAGATTTATTTCATAATCATTTATCAACAGATATTTCTGTTATAAGGCAAAAAATTGCTTTCTGAAAAGATACCTTCTGTATGTTTTGCAGAAGTAATGTGTTCCTGGAAAAAAAAATTGTAATTTTCCGGAGGTTTTGTCTAAGGCTGGGGGTGCAGCTAGCAGTAGAGCACTTGTTGAGTGTGCACAAAGCCTACAGTGTTATACCCAGCACCAGAAGAGAAAAAGAAATGGGGTCTATGCAACAAACAGGACTAGGAGTTAGGGCACTTAATACACCTGGAACTTTGTAGCCAAGGAAAATAAAAATAGATGTAGACCTAACAGAAATCCTAGTTCAGTTAAATCTGCTTTTCTAGCATCAGCTAGTCAGTCCTTTAAAAGCTTTAACTAGGACTTGGGTGTGGTGGTGCAGCGCTTGGTAGTCATAGGCAGGCAGGTGAATTCAAGGCCAGGCTGGTTCTACACAGACAGCTGCAAATCAATAAAAGTCAAAAAGAGAGACGTGTCTCCAAATATACAAATTAAACCATAGTGGTTTTTTCTCTTTGAAATGCAGTCTATGAGAGTATCGTTTGTCATAGACCCTTTTAAACAAAATTAAATATTTGATACATTGTTTCCTTTCATCGTTACCACACTTCTTAACTATCAGTCAGGGACATACTGTTTGTAAAGAGTCTCCATTGTGGTTGAACTGTGATAATTGCTTTAACTGTAGTAATTCGGTTTTTTGAACTAAAGTAACTTGCTTCTATATTCCTGTCTTCACTGTTCCATCTACTCTCAGAAATGCTCAGGTAGAAAAGCGTTTATCTATCACTTAAAACTCATGAGCGGAGCGATCCCTGGTTACCTCCAGCAATCTAATGTACTGTGGGTCAAAAATGAGAACATTTCCGTCTCCTCCAGCGCACACATTCTGTGGAAACTTGGACGGGGTTCACTCGGACGCATCGTGGGCCAGAAATCTCCTCACCACCTCTGCCATGCTGCTGCCTGCCTATGATGTTAATATTACCTCTATGATTCTCTTATAAAAAGGGCAATTCAGCCAGGCAGTGGTGGTACACTTAGCAGGCAGAGGCAGGTGAATCTCTGGGGCCAGCCTGGTCTACAGTGAGTTCCAGGACAGCCAGGGCTACACAGAGAAACCCTATTTCAGGGGAGGGGGGGAAGACAATCCAGTTGTCCCCCTTGACATAGCAGCATAGTTCAGTATGACTTTCTTTAACATAATCGTCAAAAAGCCGCAGTGTTTGGTGTCCTTGAAGTATGGCTGGTGCTGATGGTAAACCTAATTTCAAGCTATCTTAATTCAAACACAACTAGCCACAGACGGCTACAGGTCCACACAGGCCTCGGGTTCCTCCTCTTAGCCATCCAGGTAGTCCACGATCCCCCAAACAGACATCTGAATAATTACATCTTTGTTCTCGCTTTTCCTAAAGCCCCTCTCTCCACTCTCCGGTTACACAGATTTTTCGGTTTAATGCGCCATTTTACTTGTACCTTCTAAGGCAAAGAGCATGGAACTTGCTAACGCTTTATTTCCCGCCAAGATTCTTATTTTTCAGATCTTAGCCAAACTGTCACTGTCTCCAAGAGCTTCGCTGGTCTCCTAGCAATTTTGGTCAGTCTTTCCCCTTGCTAATACTTAGGCAACTCAAGTCTGTATTAATATTTATTAGTATTAGTTAATTAAGTTAACTCGTCCTTATTAATATTGCTGAGTACCGAAAGCTAGTTTGTTAACGTCTACATTTCGGTAACTACATGCAGTGTGTACTTATTGGGGGAAAAGCGGGAAGAGCGGAAGAACGCCGCAAATTCTTGAGGCAGCCGTCCTGCACCCTAGGCGCCACGGCCTAGTTGCCCAAAGCAAAGTTGACCTCGAACCCGGAACCGGGCAAGTCGCCTCGTTCTGCTCTTCCCGGAGCCGTAGCCGATGCCCATCAAACCTCAGCCTCGCCGGGCTTGCCAGAGGGCCGTCGGGGCGAGCGCCACCCCTACGTACCTTGGACACGGAGGAGGTGGCCATAGTCCGCGGCTCGTGCGCCTGCGCACTGCGCGCTTCCGTGCGCCCTTGCGGAAGCAGAGGCGACTTCCGGCGCGGGGGCGGGGCGCGCAGAGGGCAGCATGGCGTGTGGCTTCCGTAGGTCGATCGCCTGCCAGGTACTGTGGCGAGCCGCCAGCCCGCGGGAGCCAGGGCCGGAGGGCGCAGCCTAGGCCGGCCCTGCCAGCTTCCTGAGCTGCGAAGGCGAGCGGAGCGGGAAGGCTGAGTTGTTTTAGGCAGTTCTGGAAAATGGTGCATTTGCTTCTTAGGCACTACTATAGGAATTAAGCTCTGACTTATACCGATGACCTTAATGTATAATCGTGTATGTCTGTGTTTGTATGTTTCTTCATGAGAAGAGGCTGGAGGTTGGGTGTGTTTCCCTTAGTCACTATCCGCCTTTTCTTTTTCTTTTATTTATTTGCATTTTAGTTTTTGATTTTTATCACTTAACTATGATTTACTCAGTTTGTATCCCGGCTGTGGTCCCTCCCTCTACTCCGCCTTCTCCCCCTAAGCCCCTCCCCTAGTCCACTGATAGGGCAGGTCCTCCTCCCCCCTTCTATATGACCCTAACCTATCAGCTTTCATCAGCACTGTCTGCATAGTCTTCCTCTGTGGCCTGGCCAGGCTGCACCCCCCCAGGGGGAGGTGATCCTAGAGCCACTGAGTTCATGTCAAAGAAAACCCCTGTTTCCCTTACTAGGGACTCCACTTGGATACTGAGTCTATGGGCTACATCTGAACAGGGGTTTTAGGGCCTCTCCATGCATTGTCCTTAGTTGGGGTATCAGTCTCTGCAGGGGTCCCAAGGCTCTTTTTTTTTTTTTTTTTTTTTTTTTTTTTTTTGTCTCTGTTGGTCTCTCTGGAGCTCCTGTCCCGTCCAGGTCTTTCTGTCTTCCCCCTTTCATAAAATTCCATGCCCTCTGCCCCGCCTTGTTTTCTGAGGCAGGTTTTCTCCCTCAACCTGGAGTTTAGCTAGGTTGCCTAGCCAAGGAGCTCCCGGATATAATGGTGCTTCTGGTGTTAGCGGAGTTCGTTACACGGAGGCAGGCGAAGAATTGACTGGGACAGCAGACCAAAGTACACGAAATACAGAAGACTACGAGGCAGAAAATGAAACAGTGTTCTTGTTAAGGCCTCCAGAATGGGAGTTGGGGAGTCTGTGCCTGGGTCCTGGCAGTTGCCTCAAGGTTTCACTAATGGATGTGCATGTCCTTCTGTCACTCCAGGGAGATGATCACAGGCTAAAATGCACTGCTTGCTAAATTAGGGAAGTGTTCATGTTTGAAGCCCTTTTCTGTATCTTTTTTTATGACTTTTTATTATTTTTATTAATTATTTGTTAATTTATTAATAAATAAAGTTTATTAAGTTTATTCCCTTTGTATCCCACCTGTAGATCCTTCCCTATTCCCCTCCCAATCCCACCCACCCTCCCTCTCTCTTCTCACCCATCTGATCCTAGTCTATCAGGCCTCCCTCCCAATCCCACCCACCCTCCCTCTCTCTTCTCACCCATCTGATCCTAGTCTATCAGGCCTCATCAGGAGTTGTTGCATTGTCTTCCTCTGTGGCCTGGTACTTTCCCTGAGAGGGAGGTGATCAAAGAACAGGCTAATCAGTTTATGTCAAAGACAGTCCCTGTTCCCATTACTAGGGAACCTACTTGGACACTGAGCTGCCATGGTCTGTATCTGTGCAGGGGTTCTAGGTTATCTCCATGCATGGTCCTTGGTTGGAGTATCAGTCTCACAAAAGATCCCTGTGCCCATATTTTTCAGTTCCATTGCTCTCCTTGTGGAGCTCCTGTCCCCTCCAGGTCTTTCTATCTCCCCCTTCTTTCATAAGATTCCCTGCACTCTGCTCAAAGTTTGGCTATGAGTCTGACCATCTGCTTTGATACTCTGCAGGGTCGAGTCTTTCAGAGGCCCTTTGTGGTAGGCTCCTGTCCTGTTCCCTGTTTTCCCCCTCTTCTGATGTCCATCCTGTTTGCCTTTCTGAATGAGGATTGAGCATCTCACCCAGAGTCCTCTTTCTGGTGGACTTTAGGTGTACAGATTTTAGTATGTTATCCTATATTATATGTCTAGTATCCACTTAGAAGTTAGTATATACCATGTGTGTCTTTCTGCTTCTGGGATACCTCACTCAGATTGATCTTTTCTAGGTCCCACCTGCAAATTTCATGGTTTCCTTGTTTTTAATTGCTGAGTAGTATTCCATTGTGTAAATGTACCACAATTTCTGTATCCATTCCTCAGTTGAGGGACATCTGGGTTGTTTCCAGCTTCTGGCTATTACAAATAAAGCTGCTATGAACATGGTTGAGGAAATGTCATTACTGTATACTTGAGCATATTTTAGATATATGCCTAGGAGTGCTATAGCTGGATCTCGAGGTAGCACTATTCCTAATTTTCTGAGAAAGTGCCAGATTGATTTCCAAAGTGGTTGTATAAGTTTACATTCCCATCAGCAATGGAGGAGGATTCCCCTTTCTCCATATACTCCCCAGCATGTGTTGTCATTTGAGTTTTTGATCTTAGCCATTCTGATGGGTGTAAGGTGAAATTTCAGGTCATTTTAATTTGCATTTCCCTGATGACTAAGGATGTTGAGCATTTCTTTAAGTGTTTCTCTGCCATTTGATATTCCTCTGTTGAGAAGTCTCTGTTTAGCTCTGTATCCCATTTTTTAATTGGATTACTTGATTTTCTTGCTGTTTAAATACTTGAGTTCTTTATATATTCTGGATATTAGCCCTCTGTCAGATACAAGGGGTGGTGAAAATCTTTTTCCAATCTGTATGCTGTCGTTTTGTTCTAGCGATAGTATCCTTTGCTTTATAGGAGCTTTTCAGTTTCGTGAGGTCCTATTTATTGCATTTTGCTCTTAGAGCCTGTGCTGTTTATGTTCTGTTTAGGAAGTTGTCTCCTGTGCCAATGAGTTCAAGGCTCTTTCCCACTTTTTTTTCTGGGAGGTTTACTGTGTCTGGTTTTATGTTGAAGTCTTTGATCCATTTGGACTTTAGTTTTGTGCAGGATGATAAATATGTATCTAATATAAATAATAGTAATAATTGATTGAAAGACACACGGTCCTGCTTGCTACTCTGTAATTTAACCATTATATGATTTAACCCCTGGCAACCACAAATCCTTACATCAGTCTGTGTTTTTTGTTTTCTATAATATCTGATAAATTGTCTCATATGATACCTTCTTTATATGGGTTTTGCTTAGTGTGATATATTTGAAGTTCATTTATGTTAAATGTCTTAATGGCATGCCTTTATTGCTGGTAATATTCCACTCACTCTTGAATAGATATATCGACAGTTTTAACCATTTTTTCTTTTTAGCTTTCCAGAGTATTGGATCTTCCACCAGAAAGCTTGATCAAGTCAATATCTGCAGTTCCAGTTTCAAAAAAAGAGTTAAGTATACTTGCAGTATTCTGAAATTGTTGGATTTGTTGGCACCCCAATTTTACTTAAGTCTTCAATTTACAGAATAGTCCTTAAAGTTATGATTCGTTATATTCAACTTCGTCCTATTTTTGGTATTCTGTTGTGGGTGAAATATTCTTTTTTTAATTATTTTCATGTTTGTTTATGCTAGCAATAATTATGTCAGACTTTAGGAAGGAGATTGTAATTTAACTGTTTAACAGTAAAGAAATGAAAATGTGGTTATAATCTCAGCTTCTGGAGAAATTAAAGCTTGCATAATCATATGACGCTTGGGTGCTATTGTACCATACTTACTTGACACTTTGGTTGTCTTGTTTTTGTTTGTGATTAACTTGGAGACTCTCAGGTGATAGAGAACTATTGTTTAGGACTGTAGAAGATCAGTAATGCTCTTTTAGGTACAGAGAAAAAATATCTTTTTCTTTATTAGTTTGGTTATCCCAGTTGTTTATTAACAAATCAGCACTTGGATAAAATGTGGTCTACCCATGTAATAACCCTGGACTGCAAGGTTAATAATGTTCAAAGAAAAGAAACTCTATACTAAACATAATTATTTTTCATATTATCTCTGGAACAACACATTAATAACTTCTTATAAAGCCTTTTAACAGGGATTCAGGGTTAAGGAGTATTTACAGTATACAGAGGGTGTATGGAGGATAAATGAATAGAGCACAGGACTGTATGCAAGAGGCCTTGAGCTTATAAAGATTGTAGATCTCGAAGATACCCTTCAGTCAGTCACCAAAGGATGGCTGCACTGTAATTATCAGTTAGTTAATAATCTTTTCACATCATAAAACTCTTAGCTCTAAGGTTTTCAAAGATGGAATATAGGATTCTCAATATCACTATATCCTATGTTCCCTTAATTTTATTAGAACTTCCATGTGAGAAGAGTAGTCCTCTTTATGATAAGGAAAAGAAATAAATAGAAAGAGAAGGCACAGACTAGAGACCACTGATAAACTTACTAATTTTAACTTTGAAAGAACTTGAAGTAGGGCTTGAGGTGGTGGCGCAAACCCTTAATCTCAGCACTCTGAAGTTGGGCAGAATTATCTAGTCAGTTCAAGGCCAGGCTGGCCTACATAGTGAATTCCAGGATAGGCAGGGTTATGTGGAATCCTGTCTCAAAAAAATAAAAAGGAAAGAAAGAGAAGGAAGGAAGGAAAGAAAGAGCTACTTTAAAGAAATTTGTATCCTAGTCACCAACCATCATCCCTGCTTGGGGCCAATGACGCCATTTGATAATGCTGGTAACTACTAGATTTGAATGCTCTTATATCTTTTTAAACGTTTGTTTTCACCCTCTTACAGTTTTAAAGCAAAAAAGTGACAAGGAATGTAGTTAGAAAAATCAGGACACTTTCCCCTTGATTTTGAAATCATCCATACAAGATAGTTATTGACAACCATGCTGATTATGTCTATTTAAAGTTTTAAGTCTTTTTTTATTGATGGCCAGACCAATAATTGCTTCATGACTCTAGAAAGTCTCTTGGTGTCCAAGCTCAAAGCTACAGCATTTTTAAAAACAAAAGCATAATTACATCAGTGCTCAAGGTTTGTGTGTGTGTGTGTGTGTGTGTGTGTGTGTGTGTGTGTGTGTGTGTTCGTTCGTTCGTGTTGGCAGGCGTGCATCTATAGCTAGTAACATCTGATGCCTATACAAGACCCAAATGATACATGGTATGTTTGAACTGTGTCCAAGATCATGGACAGTCCAAGAAGTGGTACCAATGTGACTGTGGCTGTTGTGGGTAGAAGGCTGAGAAGTGACCAGGTAGTCAGAAACTACCATTAGGACAGGATGGTGAACGTTAGCCATTTCAATGTCATTGTTTTATTTATGTTTTATTTTATAATGTCCTACTGTTAATGGACACTTTGATTATTTTCAGTTTTATAATATTTTTACAGTTCATACAGAAGAATCGTCTCTAAATACACAAAACAAAAGTTGTTTGTGGTTGTATGATTAAAAGCTCCCTAAGAGGAGAAATAAATGAAGTCATTGTTCTCCATTATTTGACTGTCCTGCACTAGCTTTGTAGACCAGGCTGGCCTCAAAGTCACAGCGATCTGCTTGACTCTGCTCCCCAGAGTGCTGGGATTACAGGCGTGTGCCACCGTGCCCAGCTAATTTTTAAAAAACTGTCTTTAGCAACTTCTGACTCTTACTCTGACTCTTTCTGTAAGCCATGCCTGTAAGACTGTGGACATATTAAGTCTCTTATAAAGAATCCTACCTCTATATCAAGAAACTATAATTTATAATTTAGTCTTTGATATATCCACTTCCTTATCGCAATAATAGTAGAGCTCATTGCTTTTAGTTTTACTTTTTTTTTTTACTCTTAAAAATCTTTGGTGGGCGTGGCGGCACACACCTATAATCCCAGCACTTCAGGAAGCAGAGGTAGGTAGATCTCTGTGAGAGATAGGCCAGCCTGGTCTGCAAAGTGAGTCCAGGACAGCTGAGGCCACACAGAGAAACCCTGTCTCAAAAAACTAAAAGAAAAAAGAAAAAAAAAATCGTTTGTTGTTTCAGTCCTAATTTGTGTTTTATTCCTGTTTGTTAAACTAATTTCTTTAGTTTCCCATAGATTGGTTCAAATACTTAACTAAATTATCAAAGTCCTTTGGTAAGGAAGAATACAATAAGTACATTGAAACCTTAAATGAATTTCTACAGTTAAATTTTACTTCAGAAAATGTACCCAGTAAAGAATAATCTTAGAAAAAAAACAAAGGCACAATTTACCAACCATTTTAGTGTATAAAGGAAAAAGAGAAAACGTTCTCAAGACACTAGTGTTGATGATATTTGATATTTTATTTGTCATCGTATCTGTAACTAACATAACCAAGGTGTCATTTCTCAATAACCCTATAAAGTAGATACCATTGTTATCATTTTATTGAGGTACCAAGAAATAGAGCAATGTTCAGAATTGCACAGACATTGTTAGGTGAACTTGGATTTGTGATTACATCTCAAACATCAGTAAATAGATTTCTTGCTAAATTGCTAGGTAATGAATTAAGACCCAGGAAATTGCTGGGCATGGCAGTGCATGCCTATAATCCCAGAACTCCAGAGGCAGGAGGCCTATCTCTGAGTTCAAGGCCAGCCTGGTCTACAGAGTGAGTCCCAGGACAGCCAGGGCTACACAGAGAAACTGTGTCTTGAAACCCTGCGCCCTCCCCCCCCAAAAAAAGACCCAGGAAATTTCACTGTTTTTTTTCTTTATTTTTAATTAATTTTTTTATTTTATTTTTTATTATTTTTTATATTATAATTTAATTCAGTATTTCTCCTTCCCTTTTCTTCTTTAAAATCCTCCCATGAGTCCCTTTTTGTTTTCCTTCAATTTCATGCCTCCCCTTTTTTTACTCTTGTATGGCATAAAAATAAGTGTGGGTATATATATATATTCCTAGATATAACCTGTTTAATGGTATAATGCTACCTGTATGTGTGGCTTTGGACTGTTTTGCACTGGACAACCAATCCGTGCGCTCTTCCCTAGGGAAGGCCACCTCTCCTGCTCCCAGCTTTCCTCAGCTGCCTACAGTTCTTTGTATAGGTTGAGGCCTCATGGGCTTCTCTCTGTCCAGTTTGTCATGTCCATGGGCGTCCTCCTTATTCATCCCATGTTCACTCAGTCATATTGGTGAGGCTTTCTGTGAGTAGCTTCTGACATTACTAGGAGACACAATCTCACAGCAAACTCCTTGACCCTCTGTCTCTTATAGTCTTTTTGCCACGTCTTCTGCAATGTTCCCTGAGCTTTAGGTACAGGAGTGTTTTGTAGATGTGTCCATTGGGACTACATATAATATGTTTTGATCATATTCTTTTTCCTACCCAATACTTCCCAGATCCTTTCCCATACTGATACTTGCCCAACTTTATTTTCTTTCCCTATCTCTCTAAAGATCAAAATCAAAACAAACAGAAAACCAATAAGACAAAATACCAAAAGGAAACAAAAAGCTCACAAAAACCTCAGAGTCTGTTTTGTGTTGGCCAGCTACTGGGCTCCTACTCTGCATTGTCATGATGTATCCAATGGCACTCCATTGGTGAAAACTGTATTTCTTGTCCCTTTCCCAGCAGGTATCAGTTCCATACAGCTTCTCGTTAGCATTGGTATTAAGTTTTGTAATGTGATGTTGACCAGCTGTCCAGGAATTTCTAGGTATTCCTGAGTGAACCCCTTGTGCCCCTCCCGTGCATATTCTTGTAACTGAATGACACATGGGCTAGACAGTGCTCGGACTTGCCTCACTCTCTTTCCCAGTTCTCTGTTGGACATCAGAAGATGTCAGTATATGTAGTTGTGTGGTTATTTGTAATTAAAAGTGCCGTGTGGTGTGACTTGAATTGTCACACCTACAGAAGCATCTGTAGAGACAATATATGAGCCACTCTCGATGTGGTAGCCATCCAAACTATCAAGAATTGTCACACCTACAGAAACATCTGTACAGACTCTATGACGAGCCACTCTCGATGTGGTAACCATCCAAAGTATCAGATCTCTTTTCCAAAGTCAAGTCTTTTTTTCCTTGTTAGAGTAGGAGAAGAAGCTTCACAGTAGATGTCAAAAGTCTTGGGCCTTTCTGATGTGTTTATTAGTTGTTTTTAACTTGCCAGGTATCTCTAGCTATTCCAGAGATGTAGAACCACACTTAGGTAATATGCAAGAATTTATGAAATAACCAAAATTTTAGAAGTTATAAGTAAATAAAATATTTTGTATTTCTTGGCTTTTAACATTGAAGGTATTCATAGAGTCCACAGTGATTCTGTTTGTTAGACAAATAATGTTACTATAATAACTCCTCTCCATTTCAATGTTTGTCTTTAGAGAAGTGGCAGATTTTCAGCTATCTGTGGATTTCTTGCTAGAAGACAACAATCACAAATCCAAACCAGCTCCTCAAGATGAAGCCAAGAGACTGGCAGAGAAGGTACTGCAGCTCTAAACTGCAATAAAGAAGAGTAGAGCTGTAATGAACTATACTGTTTCTTTGTTCACGGTATCTTGTAAAATGTTTCAGTTCATTTTAGCTGTATGTTATGATGTTTTAGTGGTTTTCAAACTAGTTGTAAAATACACCGGTTGTTGTAGTTTACTTTCTGTTGCTGTGCTACAAATGATCAGAAATGACTTGGAGAGGAAAGAGTTTATTTGCCTAGTTAACAGCTCATCAGTCAGGAAAGTCAAGACAGGAGCCTACGCCCTTCCACATCAGCCTTCAGTCAAGAAAATTTCTCACTTCCATAGTCTGGGACAGTCTGAGCCATCTGATTGAGACAAGTCTTCAGCAAGGTCCTTTCTAGTGACTGGGTTTATGTCAGGTGACAATGGAAGCTAGTTAGCACACCTCATTACTAGCACTAGTTAGTTGGTATTTGTTTTGTTTTATCAGCCACAGGACTGAAGTATTAATTAAATTTATAGATTGAAACTGTGGAGTGGAGACAGGGTTTCTCTGTGTAGTCCTGGCTGTCCTGGAATTTACTCTGTAGATGAGGATGGCCTCAAATGCAGAGGTCTTACCCACCCCCGGATAGCTGTTTGAATCCAGGAAAACAAACTTGATATATTAGAGCAGTAGCTTACAATTTTTTAAAATAAGTTTCTGAGAAGAGCATTAAAAAAATGAGAGGAAATACGTTGTATGGAATGATTACAGAAGCTGTAGTTAGATGATTTAGTAAACGTTCTGTAGTGCTTACTCCTTTCTCATTAAGTTGAGTAGATTGCATGAATGACCAAATCAAAATTGGTAGCTTCAGGCCCTCACATAAAGAATGCTGGAATTTTTTTTTTTTTTTTTTTTTTTTTTTTTTTTTTTTTTTTTTTTTTT